TTGCACGATGTTCGAATATCCACAAAAATGAATTATTTGTTTTTGGATTGTCTGATGATAACAATAGAGTTGAATAAATTAAGTACATGTATAAGGAGCATAAGAAAACATATAGTTAAGTATATTATGCCTTTACTTTTTGATTGTATGATCTTGAATGATGTGTTCTTTTTGTATTTCTTAAACATAGTTTTGGGTTGTATGATAATGTTGGATGTCTATCTATTGATGGTGTATTTTGGTATTTGTACTTGCTACAATTAAATATTTTAGTCTATAAAGTTACCTTTCTAAAATTTATATAATTTGTTTATTCTAATTTTTGAAGGCATGGAAAGTAATGACTTGAAAATTAGACAACTTTTTTCTATATGAACAACAATATCTTCAATGCCTAGAGTACTTGAAAGAAGAAGATGAAATTTGGGGTGTGATGACTTGTGCTACATGTTATGCATATTGGTATTTTTTGAATTATATATATACAGAATCGTGCATGACATCATTTTTAGCAGGAGAAAGATGAATAATTGAATTATTGAGCGGGCATGAAAAAAGATGTTCTAATGCCCTTAGAATGAACCAAAACACATTTCGTCATATATGTTTAGATTTAAAGAATAGATACGATTTAAGACCATAAAGTGGGATGTCAGTATTAGAGAAAGTGAGGTTATTTGTATATGTACTTAGTAAGGGTGCTTCTAATAGAGATACTAAAGAGCGCTTTCAACATTCTGGTAAACCGTGAGTAGAATTTTCAAACAAGTTTTAGATTCTATGGATAGCTTTTCAAGAGATATACTTGTACCGAAAGATCCCGAGTTCCAACACATATTTCCTATGATGAGAAATATGTGCCACATTTTAAAGTAACATTTTTATTACTTTCTCATTTTTTTTTTTAGCTATTGAAGATGATGATAATATAATTTTTGTTATGTCATATTAGGATTGTATTGAAGCTATTGATGGTACACATATGGCGATAATCGTACCTGGAAAAGATCAAATTCGTTATAGGGGAAGAAAAAGAAAACCGACTACAAATGTTTTAGCAGTGTGTGATTTTAATTTGTTGTTCACATATGTTTTAACAAGATGAGAGGGATCAACACACGATTCTCGTACTTTTCCTTGACAAGATCAATGATACAAATCTCAATTTTCCGAAATCTCCATCAAGTATCTTGTACTTATCATTTATATGCATTGCTGCACACACACACACACACACACACACACACACACACGCCTTCGAACGGTAGTGTAACTTGTGTACGTTTAGGTAAATGTTACTTGGTAGATAAAGACTACCCAGAAAGAGAAGATTATTTATCGCCTTATACCGAGACAAGATATCATCAGTCTGAGTTTCTTAGTTCAAACCCGAGGGGATCTCAAGAAGTTTTTAACCGGGCTCATTCATCGTTTAGAAGTATCATTGAAAGGGCTTTTGGTGTTCTTAAGGCTCGATGGAAGATACTGCATAAAATGTTGAGATATTGATTAACGAATCAAAATAGAATCATTTGTTCATGTTTTGCACTTCATAATTATCTTAGAAGAAACACAATTGGTGATCTGGGCTTTAGAGTTATTGATGCGAATCCTGAATTCATACCTCCTGATGTGTTTCAATATGTGAAAAATAATTTTGCACAAGGTGATGGAGAAATAAGGACTCGGCAGATGGCAAACGTTCGTAGTGATATAGCTTCAAGTGATGTCATCTAGACGTCATTCTTAGAGCAATTTTTTATTTTCTTTTATTTTTGTTTTTTTTAATTATAATAGCAGATATTGCAATTGACTCACATTTATATTCTTAGTTAGTACGACTTGTTGGTTTTGTTTATATGACATGAACTTATTTACTCGATTTTTATTTTATTATTATTTATATTTTTATCATATTTAAATCAGTTTCATAAATATTTAAAATATTAATAATTTTTATTTCCTAAACAATTATAAGTTCAACATAGATTAGAATGATAAAATATGTTGATGCACTTATAAGTAATTTTACATGTTAACAGTTAATTAAAATAACTCATTTTACCAAATATTATTTTACAAACTGCTAATACGATTAGCTGGTCAAAAGAGTTAAACACAACCCATTGGTCAAAACATCTAACGCAATATGCTAATAGCTAACAACTGATTACCAATAATTTTAGCTTGACACAGTGGTCTTAGTGATTTTCATGAGAAAAAAAAAAATCATTTATTTAATATGTCCTCAAAATAAATATTTCTATAACCAGTCTTTTCTAACTTATTTACAACTTTTTAATAGGGAGTCCAATTTGATTGAAAAAAAGGAGAGAGGGAGGATTAATTTGGATTTAAATGTATTATTATCTTTTTTCCTTATCATCTTGTGTTGTATTTTCATTTACTTTGATTGAGAGGTAGTTGGCCAAATAAACTTTTTAAAAAATAAAGAAAACCAATAAAGCCAATTTCGGCCATTCCACTCGTCTTTCTCTTCTTAACCTTTGCTTTCCCCTTTGATCTCTCTACTGGCCTACCCCTTCACCATCGCTACATTTCTCAGATTCGCACCAACATACATACGTACATATTTTTTCCTCCCCCTTTTATTTCGATTTGATGATAAAATCAGCAGAGCCGATCGAATCATTTTTTTGATGATCGAAAAAAGCTGACCACGATTCGGAAAAACTGAGCGAGAGAGAGAGAGAGAAGAAGCCGAAACGCAAAGAAAGGGATCGCAGATCTGAAAAATCTGACAAATTTTCATCATTTCGATTTCTGTGCCCCCCCACATTCATTCATTTCCACCAATTCACGTTTTCCCACACCTTATTCAGCAGACCATACGTTTTCTCTATCCACAGGTCTGTCCTCCAGCTCCTTTATTGTTGCTGTCGTTTTGTATCAGTTTTTCTGCATTGATTGATTGTGGCGTTCAAATTATATTTTTGTTTTTCTCTTCTCATGTATATCATGTACTATCATTTTGCAGTTCTGGCTCTACTTGAAGCCTTGGATGTTTGTTCCTTTGTCCTGGAGCCTGGATTCATGATGCATCTGTAGGCATTTTGTTTCCATTTTATCTCAGATGATGGCATTTTATGGTTTTTGGACCTGTTATCCCTTTATCTCTGTAGAGGGACCATTTTTTTCACCACATTGAATAGCTAGGGTTTCCGGAAGTTATCGGAATGTTATTTATTAGAAAGTGAGGAACTTTTTGTCTGGGGTGATTTGCTGAGCTTGAGGTGGTATTGATTGGCGAGTTATTCAATTGGGTGGATGCGCAGTACAATGCTTCAGTGGTGATGCATTAGTTGGCCTACCCATTGCGCATATTGTTGGTTTGGGTAGGGGAATATTCTCTCGCGTTTTGGGCGTTGAATTTTTTCTGGTTTGGTTTCGTGGATTCCAGCATCTATTATTATCCGAGGCTGGTTATATTACAGACCAATGTGTTTTCTTCGTTGGTGGATCCTTTATGTCTTCAGACAAGCCATTGTTGTCTCAATCTGAACACTTTTCTGCACCAAATCCTCAGCCCCACTATCATCGACGCCGCTCATCTTTGAGACGCAGCTCACTGAGCTGTCTTTGCACTTCTGCATCTGTCTCATCTTCACCAGCTGATCAGGCGCATGCGTGCAATTTTGACGACCTGAAGGAGTTGGAAGAAAATTTCACTCCAGTGAAAGGTAAAGCGGTTTCAGGTAATTTGGTGGGACATCTCACTTCCAACCTCCCAAGAAAGGAATTTCGTTCAGCTGAGCTCCACAAGCAATGCCCCCAACGCGAGAGAAAGCGTCTTGTGTCATGGGGTGGTGTAATGGATCTGCGGCAGCAGAACCTGCAAGCCTTTGAAATTTCTGAGGCTTCATCTTGTGCTGCTTTTAGAGTACAGGACTTGAGAAAACATCAGACATCTCGAAGGTCTGAGAGGTTCCTTCAGATAAGCATGCAGCTGGAAGATAATATAGTACATCATCATAACCCCAGGCTGATCCATATTAATGACCCGAGGAAGACCAATGATAAGTTTGAGTTCTCGGGAAATGAGATACGTACAAGCAAATACACTTTGCTTAATTTTTTGCCTAAAAATCTTTTTATTCAGTTTCACAGGGTAGCTTATTTATATTTCCTAGCCATTGCTGCTCTAAACCAGCTTCCGCCTCTAGCTGTCTTTGGGAGAACAGTTTCTCTTTTCCCTCTTCTTTTTGTGCTTACTGTGACAGCTGTAAAAGACGGTTATGAGGATTGGCGAAGACACAGGTCTGATCGGAATGAGAATAACCGGGAGGCACTAGTGCTACAATCTGATGAGTTTCATCCCAAACGGTGGAAGATGATTCAAGCTGGCGAGGTAGTGAAGATCAGGTCGGACGAGACTATTCCATGTGATATGGTACTTCTGGGGACTAATGATCCTAGTGGAATAGCTTACATACAAACAATGAATCTGGATGGAGAGTCAAACTTGAAAACAAGGTATGCTCGACAAGAAACTAATAGACTGCTACTTGAAGGGACAACAATATCTGGGCTTATCAAGTGTGAGCAGCCAAACAGGAATATATATGAGTTCATGGCCAATATGGAGCTGAAAGGGCAGAGATTTCCTCTCAGCCAGTCAAATATCATTTTGCGAGGCTGCCAGCTTAAGAACACGGAATGGGCAATTGGGGTAGTGGTTTATGCTGGACAGGATACAAAAGCTATGTTGAACAGTGCAATGTCCCCTGCCAAAAGAAGCAGACTGGAAACTTACATGAACAGAGAAACTCTCTGGTTGTCAGTTTTCCTTTTGATCATGTGCCTTGTGGTAGCAATAGGGATGGGTTTATGGTTAAAGCGCCATGAGAATCAGCTTGATACACTGCCTTACTATCGGAAAATTTATTTCCAGAAGGGGAAGGAGGGGAAGAAGTACAAGTATTATGGGATCCCTATGGAAACTTTTTTCTCATTCTTGAGTTCCATCATAGTTTTCCAGATTATGATCCCCATATCACTCTATATCACCATGGAGCTGGTACGGTTGGGGCAATCATATTTCATGATTGGAGACAAGAATATGTACGACAGTTCCAGCAATTCCAGGTTCCAGTGCAGATCACTGAATATTAATGAGGACTTGGGACAAATACGGTATGTATTCTCAGATAAAACAGGCACGCTAACAGAAAACAAAATGGAATTCAGAAAAGCAAGCATTTGGGGAATGAATTATGATAATACTCACTCTATGGCTGTATCTTCACAGGACACAGACGACGAAGGTATGCATGAAAAATGCTGCTTTAATGCAGATATAAATACAATATTTGATATTGCATCCTGTTAGCTATTTCTCTCTGTTGGTTAAAGACCTTAGCTCTATCATCCTTAAGGTAGACAAAATCACCTTTCATAGTTCATTAATTCAGTTATTTTTGTGTTGCATGGTTTCAGAGGTAATCCAAAACACCACTTGTACTATCAATTGAGGCAGAGGAAATTAGGTTGTTATCATGCAGTTATACACTTATATTCCATCTTTTTCTTTTCTTGACACCGTATTATGCTACGAAATGCTTTTTGCAGTCGAACATGTGGCTGATAGAGCCAAATGCATGTTAATTTATCGAGATACCTTAAGATTACATTGTAAGTAGATAACTGAGCTGAAAACACACCGTCACCGTTCCTTACATATTTCCATTTTCCCTCATTTCACTGCATTCCTTTTCTTATGTTGATTGTAAATGATTGAAACTGTGCAGTTTTTATTTTGATGTTTTTCTGCTTCCCATTGGTCATCACCACAAGCACGATTGTCGTCATCACGATTGTTATTATTATTAATGTAAGAGACAATGTGCAGGAGAAAATGCCATGCCTGGTAAACTGAAATCTGAAATCATCCCTGATTCTGAACTCATTAAATTATTGTACAAAGATCTGCGCGGAGAAGAAAGGGTTGCTGCCCATGAGTTCTTCCTGACCCTTGCTGCTTGTAATACTGTGATTCCTATCCTGACGGAAAGTCCTGCAACTGACGATTCATCATATGGTAGTCAAATATCTATTGACTATCAGGGTGAATCGCCGGATGAACAAGCACTGGTTGCTGCAGCATCTGCTTATGGTTACACACTATGTGAGCGCACATCTGGGCATATAGTAATTGATACCAATGGTGAGAAATTAAGGTAGAAAACTCACATCTTTACTGAGTTTAAATTATGCTTCCCTATTACTGCTTTGAACCCGTATTGATTTTCTTTTCACGGATTTTTTTTTTTCAAAATAAAGTTTCCTATAGGTGTTTTATGATGCTCAATTCATTTTTATACACTTTTATCAAAGTTGAAAAGTTATGCTAGCTTATGATCTTTATCCTGTGATGTAGGTTGGATGTTTTGGGTCTTCATGAGTTTGATAGTGTGCGTAAAAGAATGTCAGTTGTTATCAGATTTCCTACTGGTGGTGTGAAGGTATTGGTGAAGGGGGCTGATACGTCAATGTTCAGCATTTTAGATCAAGGTCATACCAGTGATGATCGTGTAAAACAGTCAACACAGAGTCATCTGAATGCTTATTCATCTGAAGGTTTGCGCACTCTCGTTATAGCTGCCAGGGACCTTACAGGCGAAGAGCTTGTGGAGTGGCAAAGTATGTATGAGGACGCATGCACATCCTTGACCGATAGATCTGTAAAGATGCGCCAAACAGCAGCACTTATTGAATGTGACTTGACCCTTCTTGGGGCCACAGCTATCGAGGACAAGTTACAAGAAGGTGTACCAGAAGCCATCGAGTCCCTGCGCCAAGCTGGAATAAAGGTGTGGGTTCTCACTGGAGATAAGCAAGAGACAGCAATATCAATTGGTCTTTCTTGCAAACTTTTGACGTCGGATATGCATCAGATCATTATCAACGGAAATTCAGAAAGTGAATGCAGAAAACTGTTATGTGATGCCAAGGCCAAATTCTGCGTGAGTTCGTCTATTTGCTGTGACCAAACGATGAAATGTAAGAGCAAAACCGAGCTTGACTTTGTTGACATTCCTTCTCAGTCAAAGTCATCCGATATGCCTCAGGAGTCTATGAATGAGGACGATGGATCTGGTTTTGGGCCGCTGGCACTTATAATTGACGGGAATAGTCTGGTTTACATATTGGAGAAAGATTTGGAATCTGAGGCATGAATTATTATTACTTCATTTCATATTTTGTGTTTTTTCTCTTGCTGTCTCCATTTGTCTTTAACTTTTAATTCGTAGATTACTCAAGTCTATTTGTGTGAAAGCTCATTTAGTAGGTTTGAGAGTGTTTTGTTCTCCAACTTATGGTTAATTCTGTTCGTTTTCATACAGCTGTTCGACCTTGCAACATCCTGTAGGGTTGTGCTCTGTTGTAGGGTTGCACCCTTGCAAAAGGCTGGAATTGTTGACCTGATCAAGTGCCGCACAGATGATATGACACTGGCCATAGGCGATGGTGAGTTTGTTTCCTTTGGTCTGATGTTAGGATTTGCTAGCATCGTATTGTATTGTCACTTATGTTTGGGGAGACCTAGGGTTTGGGAATGATAATTGATTGCATGTTATGTTAGTGCTTTAAATCGATTGCCACAAAAGTTTTAGATTTTACTTGTACGAGAGGCGTGTTTTCTCTTCTGGATTGGAGGATTATGCAAGATACCTTCTCTTTCTAGAATTTGTTTAAATTATGTTTATTTGCAATTTTGCATCTGATTGATGTACTTCTGCAGGGGCCAATGATGTTTCAATGATCCAAATGGCGGATGTTGGTGTTGGAATATGTGGTCAAGAAGGGCGCCAAGCAGTGATGGCATCAGATTTTGCTATGGGACAGTTCAGATTTTTGAAAAGATTGCTTTTGGTCCATGGGCACTGGAATTATCATCGAATTGGTTATCTTGTGCTCTATAACTTTTACCGCAATGCTGTTTTCGTGCTGATGCTTTTTTGGTATGATGAGTATCCTTCGTCACTATTCTTTTCACTAGCTGATGATAATTTTAAGGCTGATTACTGGTTAGGAATTATTTAGGATTACTTATGTTACATCTCTACAAGGTTTTTTGGTTGAAATTGCAATTACACATAAGAATTATCAATTAATCTGTCTATTTGTGTGTATATAACTATATATGCAGCATCCTTTTGAATTATGTGCTCGTTTCTGTACAGGTACATATTGTGTACAGCTTTTTCTACTACTTCAGCACTGACAGACTGGAGCAGTGTTTTTTATTCTGTTATATATACTTCCGTACCTACTATTGTCGTTGGTATCCTAGACAAAGATTTGAGCCATAAGACATTACTTGAATACCCGAAGCTTTATGAGGCTGGCCATCGGCAAGAGAGTTACAATATGTCTCTTTTCTGGATTACAATGGTCGATACGTTATGGCAGAGTCTTGTTCTATTCTATGTGCCCTTGTTCACCTACAGGGAGAGCACCATTGACATCTGGAGTATGGGCAGCTTGTGGACAATAGCAGTTGTTATCATAGTCAATATGCACTTGGCCATGGATATTCAACGCTGGGTATATGTTACTCATATTGCAGTATGGGGTTCGATATTTGTCACTTTCGGTTGCATGGTGGTGCTTGATTCAATTCCGGTTTTCCCAAATTATGGGTTAGTTATTTTTATTTTCATATTGATCTTAATTGTTTATGATTTGAGGTCTACCATTGGTTCCTGTGGTTCACAGAGTGAAATTGCTTTCTGTTTCTTTTTTTT